TGAAAAAAAAAACTTTTCAATTCGACCAGTTTTCGCGAAGTTACGCTTATTTGAAATTCGCCAAATTTTGATGTAAATTTCTTGTTGCGTTAATTTTTTTGACCAGTGTATATTCTTTATAGATATATCTTTAAAAATATTTAAATATATGCATAATGTGAATAAATGTTACATTGCTATACTGTTCCATGTATTAAATAAATATAATTTAAAATAAAAAATTATTATACGCTAACGTATATTTATGTCCTATAATGAGAAATATTGTAATGCTTAATATGTATACATACATAACTACCAAGGTAGACTGACTCGAGTTTTCTAATAATAATTCTCGTAAGCGCAATTGTCGATGCGTTTTCTCTCGTAGAGTCTGAAGCTCGTGATCGGTAATATAACATTCTAAAAATAATTATTATTTACATTGAGTATCAGATGCACATTGAAGATTATTAGAAATGGATCGCCAAAAGAAAAATTGTACTTACCACCATTTTCGGAGGAATCGTTTATTCGAAAATCGGATATTAATTTGTCGAAGAAAGACCGTGTCTCTTCTTTTAGCTCGACGCCGATGTCATTTACTATCTTCAGGCTGCTATAGTTAATTCGTGCCTTATTCATGATCTCAACCATTCTGCAAAATAATCAATAATATAATCTTACATCGATATATAATACATTATTTTCATACATTTAAAATTGTATAAAATAATTTTCTCGATAAATTATCAATGTTCGTATATTATAAGAGGAACTCTACATTTTTACTATTTACTTACTCTTTTTCTTGCGCGCTAATGTCGTGCTTATGATTAGTCAGAGCAAATATCCTCATCTTACAGTGTTTCCAATTTGAGCGCGTGCTAATTATATACGGTAGGAGAATTGTCAAACCTATCGAATAGTAATTTCTGTTATTTACAAGTGAGTCAGACATTCCAGCGAATTTTATCCGGGTGATTGAGGTAAAGTATCTACTTTCAGTCACACGTACTTCAATCATCCGCTTAAATATAATTTTGTAAGTTACCTCCATCGTCATAGAGCCACCATACATCGATGGTCCCTTTTTTGTACTTCTTTTGGAAAATTGTGACGTTTTCAGGTATGGAAGTCATTCCGCCGTTTCGCCTCTCACTAAAATAATTAATGGCGAATCGTTAACAATAAATAAATTTTAATAATTTATCTTTGCTGAATTTTCACATTTTCTTTTCAGAAGAAAAATTTACGCTAAAAGTAAAATAAATTTTTTTCGGCAAAAATTTAACATTATTATACACGAAGAGAATTTTCTCGTAAAATTTATTTTAAAAGTGTATTTCGAAGAATTTTATGAGGGTTTTTTGAAATGCCGTGATGTCCCACAATTACATGATTTTCAGGATAAATTTTAAGAGAAAATTCTCTCTGTGTACATATAATTGAGCTTTTATGAAAGAATCTTTATGAAAGACTATAAGTTTGATGATGAAAACTGTATTTTATCATTTTACTTACAGCAGCTTCTCAACAGCGTATCTTTTCTTCTGTTTCAAATTTTCTTGAGCTTTCCAATGTGTCGTTGAATATCCGATCACAGGTGTCGTATCGGGTGTAGAAAATGTGGTACCTAACAAAATGGTATTAAACTGACTATGAGATACGTGAGCAACAGTTATGAATATTGAAAAATTTCATTTTTTAATTACATCTTTATTATTTATTTATAATAGCGCTAGCTTCTATTTAACGAATTGCTTAAGATATATTCACAAAGAATAGAATAACCCTTCTTTAAATAACATTGAAATAATTTTATGCATAATTATCAATACCAATTATAAATAATCAATATCGTATTGATTGAGAAAAGGAGCCATAATTTTTATTTTAAATTAATCAGTTTTTACCTATTGTCGGCACACTTTGTACTCTGGGTATCTGCGTGCTCATAGAGAGATTACTGTCGGCATGCATCAGAGTGTTCCCCGCCAAATTGTAGCTACTCTGCGCGAGAACTCCGTGGTCATCGTTCCCGTTTGTATCTTCTCCGTTCGCGATGCAAGAACAATCCAGACCTTCGGCAATTCTCAGGATTGCTACAGCCAACTTGTTATCGAAAGCGTTGCTAAAAGAAAATGAACGCACAATAAAGTATTCGAATTCGTCGACCGCAATTATTACTACCATATTATATTTCAAAGTAATTCTGGAGCAGAGAGGTCTCTCCCTCCCCCCCTTCTCTCTCTCTCTCTCTCTCTCTCTCTCTCTCTCTCTCTCTCTCTCTCTCTCTCTCTCTCTCTCTCTCTCTCTTTCTCTCTCTCACTCTCACTCACTCACTTACTGAAGAATATTGAAATATTCCTGCAAATCGCTTTGATTGCATGTTGACCAGTGAGTCTTGTAACCCATGAGGACCACATTGGGAGCTAATTTGCCTATTCCGGTAGCCTGCATCAACGCAGCAGCGCCTCGTTCCAGGTTCAAGTCATCCACCAAGTGATAGAATGATTTTATACGTTGTTGTTGTAGCCAGAAGGAACCATTATTTAGGCGTACGGAACGTAATCGGTATGATAGCCGTGTCTGAAATTGCGTTGAACATTTAGCGTCACATTTTTGCCACATAAATTACTACAGATAATAAGCGCAAAATTATATTGCGTTTAAGTCGATGTAATACCGGGAAAACTTCGCCGGCAATCAGCAAAGAATTATTCTTCGTGATGAGATTCGCTAAGTGTATCAACGCGGGTCTCGCAGCAGGCGGGCCAGTAAGCGCCAGAATTTTAGGAGCGTAATTCTTCACGTGTTCGTCAATGGAATTCAACCTAGAAATTATCGTTTTCGGATTGAAAGACTCATTTTAAAACTTCCGAATTAAAGTACAAAGATGTATTAAATTAATTCTTAACAAGGCAATCTGTAATTCCAAACAAGGAATTCGATCACAAAGAACAAATGCAAATAGAAGTTTAATTTTTTTTAAATACCTGTAGACGATGGAAATTGCAGACTTAAAGGTTTGCGCCTGCGTGCTGCTGCCCCAATTCACGTCTGGTTTACGGTAAACCACTATTAGATATAACGCGAAGATGATGACAAAGGTAACAAGTGAAGTCACCCAATCAATGAGGAACATAATCGCCACGCAAAGGATTAAACCGATCAGAGACAGCCAAGTATTGTAGTACTACAAAAAGAAGAAATTATATAATAACCACCGCGTATATTTTTATTTTGGTTGAAAAGATGCTTGAAAGATCTAATCTTTTCTCTCAAAACTTTTAAAATCTCAATAGATTCTTATACCATAGATAGATTTTTGTATTATTTAATTAGATAAATTGCCAATTTACTTTAAAACTAGGCCGCCATCCGAGAGGTCGAATCAACGCCGCGTGAAAAGTGCAGAAGTTGATTAAAGCGTACGATGCTAAATAGAAGTTTGAGATGAGCGGTGCGACTGCGTTGAGATCGGCTGAAAGGGAAACGATTAAGAGTTTTCAGGAAACAAAGTTAGCGACAATAGCAACTCGATATCCAATGAGTTCGTGATATACTTTGGGTCAGATACTTTACCGATTAAGAGGAAGAGAGCCGCGACGACAAATGTGAGAACGTATCCTCGGTAGGGTTCCCCGGACTTTCCGTATCCTTTGCTGAAGTAAATCAACCCAGGATAAATTCGGTCTTGACCGAGGGCCTGAATGAGTCTCGGCACTGACAATAAATTTGTCAGCGCTGTCGACAAAGTAGCTGCGAAGCATCCTGCGTAAATTAGCGGACCCCACAATGACATTAGCTGCATTACCTAAGAAAAATAATTATTTCGTCCAAACTTTATATCAATAATTAATAACTGACTTATTAAATAAAAATATTGAACAATTATTGTATTGTCACAATTTCTTGGCCAATTTAGAAGGCTTTTTATTTATGGTCTCTCAAGTTAATTTGCCAATAGATTTATAAAATCAATTTCTAATTTGAGATTTTCACCGCAAAAATTGATGCTCTATCTTTGGGAAAACGCACTTTTTCGCTCTGAGGCTGCCGTTTGAGATTGGAATGAGAGAGAATGTGATAAGTTCGAGACGCGCCGTATCTCCATAAGCATTTGAAACACTTACCGAGTAACTATTGTGCAGTCCGTACGTGCAGTTAGGGATACAGTTGGGACTATATTGCGCGATGGTGTTATTCACAATACCATCTGCGTCTCTAACAGCCGCGGCACCGGCAAAAAAGACAAAAGTTACATAACTAAGCATAGAGATCAGCAGAGCAAGAAGGGTCCCGATGGGTATACTGCTCGCTGGATCTTTCAAATCGCCGGATATGTTAGCGCCCGCTTGAATCCCGGTGACAGACGGGAAGAAGATGGCAAACACCGAGAAGAAAGTGTGATTGACATTCTCAGATAGTCGATAGTCCGCATAGACATTATTCCGAAATACTTCCGCTGAAAATAATATATTCTTAGTTATTAAAAATCCGCTCTTTGTCAGCTCCGCCTTATTTAATTCACGTTATATTATTATGATCGCTTCAATAGTTGTAGCTTCACCCACCGGAGAATCCGATGAAACCTTTTGCTTTTTGTTCTTCATTTTGTGGTCCCATTATAGTACCAATTAAAAAGTCGAAGATCGCGCCCAAGATGATGGCTATGAGGAAGTTTTGTGCCTAATAAAAGAGCGCAGAATATATTAATAACACATTGAAATAAACATCTTATTTTTTACAAACACGAGTGACACTTTCTCTTGCCAGTGTTAAATAACCGAACAATATTACTCGACTATATCCGGCGGAAATTTTGCACGCAGTTCTAAGATTCGAGAAACAGTCACGAAAGTGCGAAACATCATTTAAAAGTCTATTACGATAAATATTGCCACATGCCTCAGTGGTCGAATTGGTGAGACGCCCGCCTAGAGTGTAGGGAGGTCCAGGATCACATCCTGGCTGAGGTAATATTTTTCGTAATAAAATTTCCGCCGAATATGGTCGAATAATATTACTTGATCTTATTTTACAATCGTACTTTTTAATTTTTGTAACGAGTTTAAAAAGTTCAGAATACATGCATGTTTACTGGGGTGAACAAAATAATTCTGAAATCAACTAATCCAATACCTTTGACTCCCACTCCATGCCGACCGCACAGATAAGTATCATAACGACGAGCGCTATTATACCGACGATTCTGACGTCATTCACGCTGTTATCTATAATCTTCAAATCGTTCGTCTTTAACAAATCGTTGAGGGAATCGCAGAAACCGATCGTGTTCATGGAGGCCGCTACAGCATTGGCAAACGCGAACACGATGCCAACTGATGCACCAAACTCGGGCCCGAGAGAACGAGATATGATGAAGTATATTCCACCTGTAGAGCAAACGATTCTACTTTGTTTTTAATCGTCAAAAATCTTCTTGCAAGAATAAAAGTATAGAACGTCCGACAATAAATTGTACAGCGATAACAAAAATTTGCTAGGATATTATATCAAGTCACGAATTAAAGCGGATTTTATTCAAAATTAATTAAAAATAGAATTTTGCCGACGATTTACACTAAAACAATTATTCAGCTCAAAGCTTTTCATTCATTCTTTACATCCAATTTTTTTGTATGAAATAATCATACTTTTAGATTAAAAACTTAATCTTTGGCATTCATTACTATTCTGTTGCGTAAATCGTCCCTTCGATTCTTTTAATAAACATTTTTATCTCTTAAGATACGGTAAAATTTGAGAAACATAAACAATGTTTTCTGCTTTTCTTTATCAAGACAAATTGCCCCGGCTAAATTGGGCAAATAATTTTGATGAGAATCTTCTAGCTCGGGGAAAAACCCCCGAGTGTCTAACGACACAGTCGTATATAGAGCGGTGGTGTGCACGACGCCACTCCTTCGGAAAAAAGAATTACAGAATGCGTTATACCGTAACACACCTCCCTTTACTTCCCCATTAGTGCTAATTGCGCTGAGGCTAAGCGTCGTAATGACGCAGACGACCGCCGATATTCCGATAATGACGATGGTCTGCAGAATGCCGGCCTGCGCGACTACCCACGAGAGTCGCAGAAACAGCATGACGCCCCATATGTTCAGCAGGCATGGTATGAGAACGCCTTGGATCCATCCTAATTTTATTCCACCGTGACCCTGCTGACCGACGACGCTCCCGACGACTTGCCCGGTCTCGACGGCATTGGCGTCCTGGAACAGTGTTTATTTAAAGGCTCAATTCCGCACTACGTTGCGCAATTTCATGTCGGCTAATTCAATGACGACGCCGTGCGGTGTCACAAATTACATAATTCTGAAGTATGATAATCCTGATAGTAAGTTGTACAAATTACATGATTCTGATAATATGATAATCCCGATAGTAATTAAGTTGCACATAATTTTACTAGAGTGCTAGCCTAACGAGAAACTCTTGAAACCTCGTTGATCGTAAATCATTTGAAAATTTTGAAGATTATTTAAATTTGAGAAACACGACATACGTTATGTTGTTCAATTTTAACATTCCTCGTTTAGTCAAATATAAATATGTATATACATACATATGTATCTTGAAGCAATATACTTTCTCATAAACATTTGCACCATTTCGAAGAATGTACAAGGACATATTGAGTGACAGCTAAATTTTCATGAACTCTCATTTATGTTCAAGATAACGCTGCTATAATTAGTCGCATATCTAATTTTATCGTAATGCCAGTAAAAGCTAGTATTCTGTATTCCTATTTTATTTAAATATACACTATATACTACATATAGATACACAAGAAATATGTCTATTTTTCTAAATATATGTTTTTTCGTTCTATTTTTTACTTTACTTTACAGTAAAATAAAATTATATTTATAGTTTAATCACTGTTTTTTCAAATTTTTTACTTATTATTCAATAAACACATAATACCAATAAATGTTATAATCTTGTGAGAATCAGCGGTAATAAAGCAATGTAATTAAATTTTTGTTAAATTAACAGATCTTTTAAAGTCAATTTATGAATAAATAAATAATATAAATAAATTTGTGAATTGCTTGGTTTTCTATTTTTACATATACATACATGTACAATATAATGTATATTACATATATATTTTTTTTTAAGCAAACATTTTTATACATATATAGATTAATTATAAAAGAATATATTATTTTATTATAATTAACCACTTTTTGAATGAAAAGTTATAATGTAATATTGTGTCGTGCAATAAACGCTTTCGAATTCTTGAATACGTGCAAGAATCTCTACATCCATATAGTACTTCTTCCAATCTCACTGAACGGATGTTTACTGCTGTGCAAACTTAATAAACTAGTTTTCCCCCTTGTCTAGTTTTGTTACCTTCACAACTTCGATCGTCTTTGAAATAGGGAAGAGAAATCACAATGCGATGTGTGTAAGTCTCCTATCACTCGTGAAAATATCCAATGCTTGCGGAATTCCACTATCTTAGAGAAGTTATCTCTTTATTAAATGATCTTATCTAATCTCGATTAAAATATTACGTTATATGTATTTTAAACATGACTATTATGTATTGAAAAAGAAATATATTATTTTACTTAAGAATTTGCCGCAGCCAAAAACAAATTAAGTTTTGATATTATTTTAGAAGAGGACAAAAGATAAATAATTTTTATGCAATATTGGTTCTTTAATAATTAGCAATAATAGCAGACTAAAAGTGTAAAAGAAATTCTAAATATGTTTTAGAAATCAAGAAAAATCAATGGTTCTTCAAATACATTCAACTGATGATCCATATTTCGTTGAGCGATATTATTGAAATTATAAAAATAAAAATCTATTATTATCTTAAAATAACAATCGCAACGATAATACTGCGTCGCGTCTTATCGATACATTTGTCTAGTCATAACTAGATTAATCTAGCAATAAGTTTACTTTGTTATTATGGTATGCTTTGTAATTATTGTATTTTATCGCCAGGAAAATTAATATATTTGTATTGTAGAAAATTTAAATATACCCAACATACATACATTTTATTATCAAAATGAATCAAGTTATAATGTAATATTGTAAAATTGAAATATGTATATTTAAAAATAATTGATTGTATATTAAAATGATATTAAATTAGAACTTACTAAATGAGAATAACGTTATGTAAAATGATGTGTAAAATAAGATATATTGAGTACATATTGCGAAGGAGTTAAGTAATAAAATAGATAACATTAGGGCAATGAGGTATCAAAGATAGGAAGTCAATATGAAATAGCTAATAACTGTATCAAATGCAATTTACACGAGAAATAGATGTAATTCTTAACAGTTTGTATCTCAAGATTCGTAAAAACAACATATTAAATTAAATATTAAAAAGCATTTGATAATTGTTGTATTCATCAGGTAAAGTCACTAAGGCCCGGTTTCACCAACGTCACTTAACTTTACCCTCAGTTTAATTCATCCTTTGTCTTTCTCTAACTGTCTTCTTAGAAAGAGACAAAGAATAAGTTAAGCTATTGTAAGATTAAGTTAAGCGACGTTGATGAAGCCCGGACCTTAACCTCTTTTTGCATATATATGTATGTATATAAGTGGCAAATATAATTCAATTTTTATTTGTTTGGCACCTTTGAAACAATTCATAAACAACGGATACTATATGTGATAAGCCTATTAAAATATTTCTTAATTTTATTTAGCTGTTTCAATTTTGTTAATTTAATCTCTACTAATTAACTGTCTATGTTTTATATTCAAATATATTACATTTTATTCAAAATAAAGTATATTTTCAGATTTTTCAATCAATAATCAAGTTTTACACTATCGTGTAAAGTATACTATGATACGCATGAAAGTTTCCTCACCTTTATAAGATTACCTTCATGCAGAGTGCTCAGAGAAGGTCTTTTCGCTCGACGACTTAATCTGTAAAATAGATATTGACGATATTACAGTAAAACTGTTACTTTAGCCAGTTGAATTCGCTAAACCGAATAAATCCTTTTCGGATAAATGTACGAAAAACGTTATTGATTTTTTTTACATCGAGAACGCGTGTGTGAAAAAAGATTAATGATTTTCCAATATTACTCAAATGAATGAAACGTGGAAAAATGTCGTTACGTAATCGCACAGACACAAATGGGCGATAAACCGAAATATGGTAAATTTTGTAGCAAATTTTCTAACAAGTAAGAGTCCTTTGTTTCTTCTTCAAACCAATTTTACGTAGCAAAGCATATAACAGTTAATTAACTTATACCTGTAATGATCCAGTCGTGGAACTACGTCCCACAGTCCGCCCATATTTAGAGACATTGAGGGCCTCTTACTATTCTGCTGTCCAATTACATCATCTTCCGGTGCTTTGCCCTGAAAACGATTCTCCATTTTGTTCTATCTGAAAAAAAATTTTACAAGTAATGTTTTGTTTACTTTACAACTCCTTGCAAATTACGCAAGCTATTATTTTCTTGCATGAATAATTAAGTAGTAAGGTGCTTAAGCAGCTCGGGCGATAACAATTGTAAAAGAAAGACACCAAATATATGTTAACAATTTATTTCGATGTGTATGTTCTACGTGGGTCTTTCGAAAAGTTCCTGGAATGAATTACGGGTGACTGTCGCACGCAGACGTCACCCGTTAAATGGAAAGTTCCAACCCTTCTGTGAACACGTATAAAGTTCCTATTTTCGTTTGTTCAAATAGAATTTTTCAACAAACATATCTGCGTAATTTTTGAAAACTAAATAAATTCGAAGTGTCGATTGCAATTAAGATTCCCGAGTTAATTAACGTTTTTTTTTGTATTGTTCGACTTATTGTTAGTTTCATCGGACATTTATCTATTCCCACGGTTGAAGACACACTCCTTGCTGGAAAGAGATTTTCGTCGGACGAAAAAGTAAAAGAAGACAGTTGGTATCTTGCACTTTACAAATCGGAGTTTCGTAATAGAATAATCACCTTGGAGTACAGCCAATAACCTTGGCTCAAGTGCATGGATATAAAGGGGAATTATAGTGAAAAATGCAAATATAAACTGTTTTTCTGTTTCATTCTGAGAACTTTTCACACTTTCATGTAGGCATAACGCGTTAATAAAACAGTCCCTTTAATATTGCGCACATTGCAATTTTCGGAAGGCGACACATGATTCAGTATTGATTAGAAGGTCTCGTGGTGATGATAACGAGAACTAACGACAATTAAGGCCATAGAAGTACTTCGCAGAAAATACTACGAATATTTGCGAGCAATGAGTCAGAGATGGGATCAAATGTCTGCGGTACGTATGGCTTTTATACTTTAATTAATGATCCTGGTCATGCTCAGATAATCGACTTTATATGTATGTCACCCGAACTATTCGGAAGACCCAGAAATAAGATAAGATACTATTGAAATCTATGTTTAAAGATTGTTTTACGTATGTGAACAAGTATGTTTGTGCATCTGATACCAATATTATTAGTCTTATTTTCACACACACACACACACACACACACACACACACACACACTCACACACGCGCGCGCACGCGCACACGCACACACACACACTCTCTCTATCTCCCTCTCTTTCTTAACAGATTTATAAATAGTAACATGACTGTATTTTGCGATATGCAAATTTTCGAGTGATTATTTGGCCACATTCCCAAAATTCATTCGTGCGGTTCAACGTCTTGCAAGTTTAGAGATTTATTAGCAATGCAGTAAAGAAATTTACGAGCAATCTTTCTGATTCATCTGAGAAAGTAATAGCGATGTAATACAATTTGCTGTTAAATATCAATTTTTTATCATTTCAATTAGCAAAAGTGTTATTTTTATAAATAAGTTAATTTTAAGTTTTTATTAATAAGTTTTATCCGTCTAATAATGAGAATGAAAACCCAATGTATTTATGCGATATCCCTAAAATTGAAGTGTTTTTATCATTAGTTTTAGCTTCTTTCCCTTTTCTTTTATCTTTTAAGATAAACTTTGTAGGTTTTAGATTATTATTTAATTCCAGTGCACCAAGATTTCTACGATAATTACGAGACGCGAAAACAAATCACACTCTTGATGCTTCGATGTTCAATACTTTTTATGAGAACCGAGTAATTTAATAAGAGAAGGTTTCTAAGAGAATGTATCGAAGACATTCTGTGTTTGCTGATGTCAGGTACGCACGTCTCAATATCTACGCGATAATGTGAAATAACCTAATGGAATAATGTAAAAAGATACCTCGGTCAAAAGAGGTAAAGTTACTTATTAAATTTACTAAAACAATTTCAAGATTATTTAGTTTAATTTTGTATAATAATTTGAATTTTAATATAAAATAGAATTCTGCGCATGTGAGTTTGTCGAAAATCAATGGTCGCAAATTTGATGATAAATTTAACAGCTTTTTCTTCAAAACTCAAAATTGTTTAAATGATAACTTTTGTCACCTTATATAATTTCATTACAAAATTAGTTTTCGTTGATTTTGCTAAAATTAAAATCAATTTTGTCCTAATAAAATTTTAAGGCAATTACTAAAAACAACGTTCTCCAAACTTCAATATTAAATATTTAAAAAATTAAATAAGAGATTAAATTTTTTTGGTTAAGCCCAACTTTAAATTAAAGAAGAATCAAAATCTTCCATTCTTTCCTTCATAGAAGGAAAGAAACTCTTTGAAAGAAACTTCAAGTTATCTTGTACTTTATGCGTCAATGTTTTGCAAAAAGTAAAAGAAAATTCCCAAGAGGGACGGAAGGAGATTTAAATTAAAGGATACAAAGAATACAAAAATTTACAGCGAGGTGAAACGAATGTAACAGAACGTTTGAGAAAAATCTCGTATTTTTGTCCCATGCGATTCCATCTTCTGATCCGCTGCTCCGGTGCATAATTACGGGTCAACGAAATGGAAAGCACGGTCAACTGGTAACTCGAAATCGATGACGAGCGCTCGTGGCCGCGGCACGATTCATTTGCGTCGATTTACCGCCGCGCTTGCAGCTTGCAGATGCGCTCGACGATGCCAAAATAAATAAATCGACAAAGCGATTTTCCGGCGCTGTCCCGGTCTTTACTTTCTCGCGGACTTTGTTGTCGAACAAACTTCGTTCTCGACAACGATGACACCGGGATGTCCTTGAACGTGCCTCCCATTGACGGTCGCTCCCCCTTATCAACTCGGCCCGGAGCAAGACTTCGATTTATCACGGCTTAAACGACAGGCGAATCGCGGGCAGATAATCGATCAAAATAATACGTCAGTTTTGCATCCTTTCTCCGGACGATGAAATCAATCTATTTGAAAGATAATAGCTTTCAAACGATAACACGTTTTCAATAACACGCACGTGTTGTTTATGACATATTTCTCACGAATAAATTTACAAATTTTGAATATAATTGTTCGGAGCATAATTTGGTATTTTTTCCTTTTTTGCACAAAATCCCGATTATGTACTTTTATTTGATATACTTTCGGTTATGGTTACATTGATTAACTAGCAAAAATTGACAAAATATAAAATTCAACACTGCATATATCACGGTTTAAAAATTCCACAGATTGTGAAAAATTATATTTATGTAAAATTTAAATCACAAATCGCTCCAATATATTTGTATCTACAAACTTATGCTTTATATCTTATGTAATAATGTATTACACACTCGAAAGTGTAATCTCTTTATGTAGTAACGAAATCATATATTCTAATAATCACTCGACTATTTTCTCTTATTCATTTTATAGTTTTATTTCATGAAACATCGATTTAGAAATTTAGATAATCCACTTGGTTTAAGAAATTTATTAATTCTTTTATTAACAATAACTGAATATATATTATGTTATTAAATAAGGCAAAATCGGAAGCAATTAAACCTAAAAAATATTTTAATCGTAAAAAGTAAAAGTATTTATATAAAAGTAAATTACAAAAAAAAGATTACTGCTGAGCATGAAAACAAGAGACAGTTTAATTAAAAAATAATATTTGAGTAAAATAAAAAATTCTAACTCAATGCATCTATCACAACGCAAAAATGTATTCAACGTGCATAATTCACATTTTATGCGCTGTTAAAAAATATTACTAGTTAAATATATAATTTAAATGGACGTTATTTTGTGCACTGTTAAAAAATGGTACTTATTATTTAAAGCTTTATACAAATATTTGAATGAAATACAAAATTCTAACTCAATGCATCTGTCACAACGTAAAAATTATTAAGCGTGCAATTCACATTTTACAGAAACTGGATTGATCCAGTCGATATTTATCAATTTGTGGTATCAGTCGCGATGGAAGAAATTGTTAGTTGACACAGATTTGAAAATAAATGGAAGCGATCGACACAAAGTCTAAATTCGATTCACTTGTGGATAATGTTCACGATACAGGTCATAACAGAGCGATTATGAAACAATTAGAAGTACGGAGATAAGACAAAAGTCGACGATAAAATCGTGTCACGGAAGAAACGTTCAATCCGATACTCACGACGCGAGATCCGGTTGATAGACCGCGCACGAGGACTGGAAAGTTTTAATAAAATCACCCGCGACTCGTAATTCACACTATTGCCGAAGCGATCCACGCGAATCTGACACGAGGCACTGGGCGTCGGGAAAACTTGAACCCCCTTGTGGATCAAAACCCCTCGGAGTACGGACATTAAGGAAAGAGACATGCGTCGAGCTTCCCTTTCCACGCGCGCTCACGCGGACGTGCGGCACACACGCGCAGTTCCGAACGCGAGGCTGCGCGACGTAACATTTAAACAAATTGCTATACCGGAGCCGGCCGTCTGAAATCGGTTCAATTAACGCGAAGATATAACGGAAGGGTTAAAAGAGCCGTGCCGCCGCATATGCGTGTCCGCGAGGCACGTAACGTGCGCGCATCGATTTTTTGAGTCCGCGTGGGCGACTGCGTGCGCGTTTCGTAAACGCCGACGTGCCCGTCCAGGGAACGAGGGAAAAGGCAGAGGCGGGAAGAGAAGATAAAAAGAAATGAGAGCTTTCAAGGGAAACGAGCGCGATTTTCATCGCGCTTCGCGGAATGCGACGGGCAGAAATGCGGAGCGCCCGAGCGGCGCGAGATGAGAAGGCGCGAAGGTCACCGTACGGCGATTCGCTCGTATTTTGAAATCCTTTGACGTCTCCTAACGCGACGGACTGGCGCGAAGAGAAGCGAGCTTTGTGCTCGGAAACTTAGACGCGAGAACAATGAGGCTGAAAGGAAATTAGACCGCCGAGGCGGGCGGTCCCCGGGTGAAAGAAGGAAAGTCGCGAACGTAATGGGGAAAACTACTCGCGAGCATAAAAATAGCTGTGTGTTAAGCGATCCGACTCACCTTGATACTTGTAACTATTTCAAAGTCACGCAAGAGTCACTCGAAAGACAGTCAAAGTTTCTGTATTAATTAACGCCTTCCTCAATTAGCCACGTTTCCACTTCGGAAAATCATCCGTTGAACTGCGCCTGTCTCGGAGCGACAATTTTTTTTTACGAAAGAGTCATTTGCACGAAATTGCGCGACGCAACGACTCGGTTCTCGTCATTATCGCGCGAGTCGCCGAAGGCTGGCCGATCGAATTCCGCGAGCGACTACTACCTTTTTCAGTGGTGCCGACATTTATATAGGCGGCGAGGAACTGTCAATGCGGCCGATGACGTTGACTTAATGTTTACGTTGACGGTAAGACGTGCGTCTATGCTGGCCGAAGGCACCCTTGCGAAAATATATGTTACCGAGCTCTATTGCTTTGAAATTTATACACTGGCGGGAAGTGCAGGCCCGCGAATAGATTATCTGGCCGCTCTTCTGTCGAGTTATTGTTTGCTATTGTTGTTTCTAATAAGCAGCGCTGGCCAAAGTGATGCAAAGCCGATCTTCTTTGCGCTGGAATCCTTTACGCGGCCTTTGAAGTGCATTTTACAGTCAAGTTTTATTACTAACCAAGAATAAACTAAATCACTGACCTGCTTTTGTGAATTTCTAAAGAAATATATTAGCGAGAAAAGGTGTACTGTATCTAGAAAGGCCACTTATCAATTTAAGCATTATTACTTCTTACCGAGATAATTTTTATTATTCATGTTATTCTTATCGTTTTTTACGGTAATATAGATAAATGTTAAGTATTATTGTGCGTACATAATATATTGTATCTATTCTTTACCTTGTGAACAATTATCTTAATATTATGAGTATTACAGTGCAAAACTTTAGATATGTGTGATTTAATCGAATCCAAAATTAATTATTGTAAAAAATGTATATACATAGACGTACTTAAATATAAATTTTAATACAGAATATGTACAAGTTCTTTAATTCTAAATTTGCGTTTCTGAAGAATTTTATACGAGAAAGATTTGGAAAATCTGGAATTCGAGTAACCAAGCGAAAATTTTAGACAGTTCCTAAACAGCACCAAGTCGACTATTAGTTGACTGTCAGTCGGCAGAAGAAGTCAAAAGGCGACTTCAAAGTCAAGCTGAATGTCAACTTATAGTCAACTAATAGTCGACTTAGCAGTCGACTTTATGGCAATTATAAGTCAACTTTCAGTCAATTTTACGTTATTTATATTAATCTAACTTTTAATTGTAAAATATGGACAGCTAATATTTAGTTGTGATATCTAATATTTTGCTACTGTGCCTATTGTATTAGGTGCAACAGCAAACCGTTTGCTGTGGTTCAGAAATTTATAGTTAATGCAGCAAAATATTTTTAGCAAATCAAGACTAGCTACGGTAGACTTTTTTTAAGTGTACAGAATTCGGAATATGAATGTTGTTGTCTTGCTACCTTATTTAAAAAAGAATGGAATTTGCTATAATGATTACATCGGTATTTCCTTATCTACGATTAGTATCAATTTTTCTGTTCGACAAGTGGCTAATTGATAAAGATAAGCAATTAAATAATCAATTATTATCTCTCGGTTGCTCGCAAACGATATCGCAAACACTTTGCTACATCTGCGCGGCTTCACGCTTCGTTTGCTTAATCTGTCGTCGATGATTTAAGAATTTGCATGTACATTGAACAAGAAATACCGTAGCTAATGCTAGACAATGAACCGCTTGTCCTTCTGAACCATATCTGATTTATCTTTTTCCGGTTTCTAAAAGACAAGTGTATCTACATTTTAAAACTTATAAAAATATTCAGTAAAAAAAGAAAGAAGATAAAAACAAATTTAACGCCGGACATACGTTAATGATTCTATGGTTATTTGAAACAGATCAAACGACAACGTGCTTCTATTTTCTTAAATTGCAAGTAACACAAAATTTCTCAATCAATCTATTCAACTATTTTTTATTCGAGTCTTTTCCACAACATGCAAAATATTTTCCTTTATAAACATTTCTGTTTATCTAAGAGGTAGCAGATACTGGTTTCAGTAGTAAATGCGTGCAATTAAGTAGACTGAAAATATTGAGAAATTTTTTAAGATGAATAGAGACATCCATTGCCATGTGTCCGTGCATCAATGACTCTCAGATACATAAAAAATACCTAACAATAAGACGTAGGCCGTATTGCTAGCGGCATGTGTTACGCTACGACAGTTTACTACCAGGTGTGTGCGGCTGATAATCAAATCCACTGCTGCGCGACACTGGAATGATATAAGCGGTGGATGCGCCTTTTTTTAACATCCTTTTAACGAGTTGCCACGAATGTGCTGATTTCCTTAAGAGGAACGACATGAGGCGGGCTTTAACATGCCAACGCAGGCTTTTACGTAAATCATGCGCCACTGTTCGATGACTTTAACGCCATAAAGAAGCAATTTACACGATGAAAAATTTTTACATTTTTTTCCTCGTAAAAATTGTTAGCAATAAAATGATTTGTAAAATCTACAGTTATGTGTATATTTATATCCGAAAGCAGCTAACTGGAATTATTATCTAACTTTCACGTATGTATGTCACTTTTTTGTTACGTTTGTGTTACATACACATTATAGTGTCTTAAATAAATACCTTCTGGCAACAAATATTACCCAGGTAAAACCTTAAATTATTTACTAACTTTACTTAAAAACGTATAATTTGTTAACATAATTGCGTAATTATAGAATTTCTAAAGTAAATTGGCTTTTTGAGATGTAGTTAATAACTTCCGTCCTAAAAGGAATAAAGAATTTCATAATATGCTTTTTCGCGTGAACACGAGCGGATTGGTTGTACGTGTCAGAGATCCTGTCGGAAGAAGATATTTCGCGGGCGTGACAGGTATGTCATATAAACAATGTCAAATGTGACGGCTGTCTGTACGCAATTGTAAATCATCTGTTTAAAGAGTCAAAATATAATGATAACAAATCAGGTGTAATTACACAAGTTGTACACGTGCATTAGTAGAAGCTATACATGTGTACATGGTAAAAAAGCTAAAATTGTATAGTAAAATACGCACGTTTAAATATAAATCTTTTTACTTTAATTATTAAGAAGAGTTATGATTTAATTTTAGACGCAGACATAATGCAATATTTACAATTTAAGGTAGTATTTAAAAAATGTACAGAAAGAAAAAATAATTTAAACATTTCCGTAGAAAGAATTGCGACGAATAATGACTGTGTGCAAATTTTTCTTATCAGGTAAAGTACGTTTTAATTTCAAAGTTAAATTCGCACGTCGCATGCCACTCGAGTCACTAGTTAATTATAAAGACTTAGCAAAGAAATGAAAAAAAATTTATCTTTTATACATTTATTGAATTGCCACGGAATCACCTAGTGATGATTTTAATTAATTCTTCAATAAAATCATCAAAAAGTATATTATTAAAAAGTGTATAAATAAAATTTTATTCCAACACATATTGTATAATTTATACAAGTAGACACATAGCTTTTATATGAATTGAATGAAGATTAAATTAGAAATTCTGATTCGCCTATTTGCTCATTTACTCTCTCTCTTTCACAAAAATATCTCATTTTTCTGTAACTCAGTGGGATATTGGAATACAAAATTAATGCTGAGTGTGTAAGTGACAAAATATTTTAATAACTTTTAAAAATTTCCGCGTAAATGCTTTTTAAAATTTTATTTTTATGACTTAACTGTGACGTTATTCGTGGCGTTTTAATTGTCTGTAACTTTGATTGTCTCTTCAAACTCGTTACGTCGATTTGATGTAAGTTCAAACCTTAGAACATATATACCTGGAAGGGGAATAGTGATGCCAGATCTGTCCAAAACATGAGATAGAGAATATATCTCCTTCCTTGTTCTCGAGATGGGCAAAGGTAAATCTGCGCATGTACAGTTCGGACTGCGCCGATGACACCGCGCATAAACCTTTTGAGGAAAAAAGGTTTATGCGCGGTGTCATCGGCGCAGTCCGAACTGTACATGCGCAGATTTACCTTTGCCCATCTCGAGAACAAGGAAGGAGATATATTCTCTATCTCATGTTTTGGACAGTTTCGGCAGCTGGGAAACAAAGGCATTCCCCTTCCAGGTATATATGTTCTAAGGTTCAAACGCAAAAGTAGAATAGTAGGGCTCAGCCATTTGTCACTGTGTTCATACATTTGACGTGGATATAATTACATCAGCAAAATTTCGATTTGTTGGCTGTGTGTCGTTTGGTTATCGTGTATGCTGTATATCCATTTTGC